CGGGGGTGATCCCGGCGCGAACACTCCGACGCTCAAGTCAGTGATAGTCTAGAGAGAAAACGGCAGAGTAACGAGATAACTCGTGAATGTGTGTTGTGTAAATGAAATAACGCCCTTTTTATAGATGAAGACATGTAGAGGCTGTAGAGTTCTTATCATACCATGAGTCTTCTCCTCAGATTAGGTCAAAATTCCAAGAGTCCTTGAGGTTGCGAACCTCTTCACGACTTGAGCACGATACCACCTCTGGGCTCGGGTCTCCTCAGCGGAACGTCCAGCTACCTAGGTGCCAAGGTGCCCTGCCTAACTCATGTTGAGCTAGCCTCCACCAACCACCCATGTACTCCAAAGGTACCATGGGCTACGCCTACCAAAGCCTCCGCCTACCAAAGCATCCGCCTACCAAAGCCTCCGCCTACCAGCATCCGCCTACCAAAGCATCCGCCTACCCAAGCATCCGCCTACCAACGACCAGAATCCGGGTCACAACCGGTCCTTCATGAGCCGCTACTAACGACCACATCACCAGACTACATCTAGACGTACATAAATGTTATTTTCATTTTTTTTATTTTTATTTTTTTCTTTTTTTTTGCATATTGGAAAACTCGATTTATATGATTCTACTCTTACATGCACTATTCAAATAAAAAAAAAAAAGAGTATTTTAAATTTAATCCTGTCACGAGTCTATATTTTATTTTCCATTCAGCTACGTACTCTTTCCTTTTTTTTCATTTTCTGAAACTATTTTAAAACTGAGTATATTTCTAACAATTTGTCAGATAAAAAGTTGAGATGGCCGAGTTGGTCTAAGGCGCCAGATTAAGGTTCTGGTCCGAAAGGGCGTGGGTTCGAATCCCACTCTCAACAAAAACACTATTTTTTTTTTTGGATTTAACAACTTTTGCCAACTTTTTTTTTTCTCAAAGGATAGTAAATTCAATTAACCAAAATAAAACACAAGTACATGAAAACATTGTCGCCTGCGTGTTCAATTCGAGTTCTAAATCATACGAATAATGCGTCCAAAAAAATCCTAGATATGTTGTGGGCATTTGGATTGTTTGCGTTCTCCCGTTCGTTTAATAAAAACCAAATTCATGACGAGTTCTTAGAGTGTTCACAAAAGAACCCGGCTGGGTTAAATAATAAACAAACTTGTTTAGTTGTTCAAATTCGACTTGTTGAAGTAAATGAGCCATCCAAGCTCGAGAACCGAGTTCTTGACTTATTTCCTTTGTTTAAGTAAATGAACAATCCAAGATCGAGTTTTCACTAGTCAAAATGAAATATGTTTGCAAACAAACTAACCCAGTTCAAATAACTCTAGATTATTGCTAGAGATGAAAAACAATTAAAATCATCGCACTCGTCATCCCCATCCAAAGATACAAATCTGGGGAAAGAAAAAAAAGGAACAAATTATGTTGAAAACGATCAACTTGGAAAGGTACCAAATTTCTAGCATGCAGTTTCGGCCAAACATTCTTGATATCGACCTTTCATACACGGAGTTTAGTGTTGAGGCCCATTGAAAGTTAAACAAGTTAGTAAATATATTTTTCTGAATCAAGCACAACACGTATCCGAAAAAAAAGAAACACCAAAAAGTAGGGGGGAAATACTTGAACACAAAAGGCTAAACTTTTTTCATGTAATTGGATACACATAGGATCAGTATATATGAAAGAATAAACATAGAGTTCAGGGAGTAATCATATCACCAGAAGCTCCCGGAAGATGATGATTAATGCAACATAATCGTTTTCCATTAAAATTTCTCCATGCTGTGTAATATTTTCGTTCTTTTATCCACCGTGTAAAGTTGAGATGAAAACCACAGTATCCTTCTCTTCCAAAACTGTGTCAAGCTGACCACTTAATTCCCAATCACAATCGTTTACGAGCACGAGAACTCCGGGTCTCCTGTATGAAATGCAATCCATTTGTCACTATTTCGTACATTTATGTGTTTCATTTTACTGATTTATTTCTCCAGAGCAAGCTCATTTCGGCTGTGTTAGCTAAGCATACAGTTTATTTGATTAACTTATAAGATTCTTGTATTCAAATAAGCTTGGTTTGGAAAGACGAGCTTTTTTAAAAGCTCGAGCTTATCTCATAAGCTTTCTTGGGTAGTCTTTCAATAAGTTCATTGAATTTTTTATTTCAGCTAGCTTATTAGCTATTTTTACCAAACACTTTTATCATATAAGCTAAAGCTTTCCAGCCATAAGTCGTAAGCTATCAGCTATAAGCTCGATAGTCACTTAAAAGCTATAACCTAGCTGATAAGCTAGGTTTACCAAACATAGCCTTCAAGTAGTCCTCCAGAACATAACACATACAGAAGTTTTCAAGTTCCATGTAATTTGTGAAAGTCCCATGTTTTCATAACACAAATGATCAATTTACTACAAGTTTTAATTTCTGTCAATTAGATCCACTCTGCAAAAGATTCATCCAAGAAGCAAAAAAACTTGGAGATTTTAAGGCACAGACATGTTGAAATGACAAAATAAACAAAATTAAAAACACGTTAGACACTCAGCTCTGAAATAAATCACAAATAGGCCGATTAAATTACTTACACGGTATCGCCTTTCATAAACATTTCAGGTCTTTCTTTGATCAGATTGCGGCGAACCCAGGAGAGCAAGTGTTTCATGGTTAACTACAGAAAGTTCAAAGTAAGCATACCAACTTCAGTTAATAGTATAGAGAATAGAGTTAATTCATTTATTTTTTAATTTTTTAATTTTAAGAAAAGGCAAAGTTATTCACCTTCTGTTCTTCATCTTGTGGGTCAACATTCACCTCATGGATCTTTACAGAGTCGCATAGAAGTTCCAATCCACCACTGGCATAGAAAAATGCACACATATATCTTTAAGTGGCGGCATGATGAAGGAAACGAAAAAAATTACGAATTGGAAGTGTGATGAATATAATTATCTTAAAAGCAAACACAAGATGAACAATGTCATTATTCTTGAAACCTGTGGAATAAGAATCGCCTTACACGCTATGATTACCAATCAAGTAACATCCGCTTCAGTAGCTATATGCATAGATGCTCTTTTTTT